CATAAATGCGGGATGTAAATCACAACGGGGGACTCTGCGCGCGGAGGAGCGTAAAAGTTGCGGAGGATCAAGGAGGAAGCGGCGGCGAGGTGGCGGAGTCATCGACAGCGCAATTAATCCCATCATGCGAGAGCGAGCGCGGCCCGACGATTATTTCTACACCTTTCCACTGCTTTTCGCACTTTACATAAGTCGTTACGCAAAATCGAAGATTCCCCATAGAGGCTTCGCGAGGCATTTCCAGAGGACGAAAGCAAGGCGACAGAACGCAGAACGACGACTTTTCGATGATGTGTGTGACACGTATAGACTCTAGATTTCTCTCTACTTTCCAAATTTCCAAAGCGGCGGTCAAGAAATTCTCACGGTTTGAGAAATTGGAAACATTACAAGTTACAATCGTCCGTCGACTTCCTGGTCGGTCCTGTGACCCTCGACGTTAAAACTTCGACACTGATAGATTCGATCAGAAGCCCGCGATATTTTGTCATCAACGTGACTAAGAGGCAACAGCCTGTACAAAGAACGCGCTTCCGCTGGATAATCGGAGCATATCGTAAAGTACGAAACTTTTCGGTGGAGCGACCGCACGTGCTGACCACGTGTTTCGTTGAGAACGCGGCGAAGTAACGGAGATATAGCCCTTGTCGCCCGTAACCACGAACAAAGCAAAACGCACCGTCACTCCTCCATAATAAATAACGGAATGCGATCACTGCGCGCCGTTAATTAATCATTAGCTCGCTCGCCCAAACGGTAATAGTTCTTGATGAATAGTCGATAGACGCGACGTTTTTCATATCGGCTACTGAAAATATCCGAGGAAAGTCTCACGCTGCTCCGACCAATGCCGCTGCTCGCCGATAAACCGCTCTGACAAACACGGATTAATCTCCAAAAATTATAAGCGCAGGCCTTATCGCGGCTGATACGCTCCAATGCGCACACGCGATGAACAAATATCCGTGTGATTTCTTGTTCTCGGAAGAAGTAGCTGATATTTACTCGAAGGTGATAAACGTCATTCACGACTCAGCGCGGTATCTCGTGCGTGCCTTGCCTAACGCAACAAAGTAGTCTTCTATTCGTCATGTCATGACCGATAGAGTTAGCTCCCAAAATTCATTGATGTTCTCATCTTTGATAAAGGCGATAAGCGCTCGATGAGTTCACGTTTCTTGCGCTTCCGAAATACCCTGTGTTCGCCCTTGTTTCCGCGCGATTTTATTTGTGTAACGTTCACCCAAAAAAAGGTAACTTCAGAACAAGCGGAGTCATGCAAATTTTAGAGGATTTTACTCTTATATATAGCCTTAAGAGGATTCCTCTAAAATTAAGAGGAAAATATTATAAACGCATTATTCTTAAAGTTAGAGGGATTATATGTTACATGTACAATGCAAATATTATTGATTTTAATACAGGTTTCCTCTTATACACAGATTATTTGATCTTTTTTAAGAGAATTATTATTTATTCTTACTGTATTACTTACTTTATTCTTGCTGGTTACACTAGTTAATTTGAAAAAAATTGTGATAATGTATAGCGAAAAGTAAAGTAAATAGATGTAATTCTGACTTGAGTTCTACAATAAGTAGGCGTATAAAATAAGATCATCATAACAAATAAATATCCAATCAGTTTTGTTATAGACTTGAAAACTACAAAGACATTCATCATAATCAACTGTATGAGACATAGTTAAAAGGAAGAATATATTATTCAACTTCTTGCAGTAGATTATAACCTGTATTTGACCAAATGGGTAATTATCTTTGTTATGTGTTACAGCAACACACATATCTTTTTTAAGAAGCGTTCCAAATATTCTGACCCATGAGTATATGATTATTTTATCGTTCATGTCTGGAGGTAGAGCATGACTGAACCAAGCCGAAAAAGAAGCCGACATTCAAATCAACATATTCCTCTTCATATAAGAGGGAAATTAATTGATATAAGAAGAAATCCTCTTGAAATCAGAGGAAAACAGTTAGAATAATATCTAATAAATTTTAGATGAATGGTTCACTCTAATCGCTTCATCAAAAGAGAAATCCTTTTTCTGCTAAAGGCTTCGCTTTATTCCCATAGGGACCATGGGAAAAATCACTTTACAAATAGCATACTTTTTTTTGATATCTTGTCTTTATTTTTTTGCTATTTGGTTGTATCGTATTCGCACGACGATACGACGTGCAAATTGTACCAGTAAAATAATCAACAACTCTTATCACATCTCGTAGAGGAGGCAATAGATTCAAGCGAATAAACGATACGAATCAATATGCGAAGGCCGCAATTGCCGCGAAAATCTCACCGCGAGGAGCAGAACTCTGTTTTTCCCCGCTGCGAGATCGACCTCGCAGAAATAACTCGCCCTCCCGCTTTGAATCGAGGGAGACCGAGAGAGCGTTGCCATTGTCGATGTTACGCGGGAAGCTTTAAGTTTCGCAATCGCATTACGACTATTTACGACTGACACGATGACTGTCCGTTTCGCGCAACTTGCCGCGTTGCGAATCCTGCGAAAAGTGCAACCGCAGCGAGCGAGAGGAAGAGAGGGAGAGGAAGGGGGAGAGGGGGAGAGAGAGAGAGAGAGAGAGAGAGAGAGAGAGAGAGAGAGAGAGAGAGAGAGAGAGAGAGAGAGAGCAAGAGAGCAAGAGAGCGAGAGAGAAGGAGAAAATCCAGTCACTATTACCGCATTGATTTTCATACGTGGAATAAAACGTTCTCTCCTTCTACGTACGCGTCGATTGAAAAATATGTAATAGTACCATCGTCGTTTTCCTCGCGCGCAGCAATCGTTCCGGAGGAGCGGAATAGATGAAGAAAGAAGAAACAAAAAACATCGACATGTCTCGTACTTTTTTTTCCTACGATGATAAAACGACGCGTTATCTCGCGCCTCGCCTAATGCGCGGACGTGTTTAGTTACAATAGAGTCATCTACGAGATTCATACGAGAGCGCTTAGCGCGCGCTGCGTCGTGTCCTTGATTACATCAAGCTGACATTTCAGCACGTGGCGATACTGCACTCCGCTCCGCGCTCTTACGTGCGGAGCACGATGAATGAAGACTAACAGAGCGTAAATATTTACGCCATTATTTCAAGAATCGTACGTCCTCGTGTTGCATTAATCGCGTGTAAGACATGAATATCGCGCGCGCGCGACGTTCGTTCGTTCGCGCGACCATGCCGGCGAGACGACATTACCGAGGTAAACGTAAATAAACACGCCTCTTTTAAAGCGCGACGAGATATTCATAATTTTCAGCTGCGGCTCGAGCAATATTCATTGAGAACTGTCGGCGGGCCCGCTGAGCAAATAAATGAAAATTGTAAGAATCAGCTGATCTCGTCGACACGCGAGAGATCCCTTGCTTGTCGCGCTGCGCGCGGCCGTTTCTCGGCCATTCCGGCGTCTCAAGCGTATCCTCGTGGAAGTATATCTCTCTCTCGTCCACGGCGATACATCACCACGGGATATCGTCGAGGGCATGTATCTTCCGTCGAAAGTAACAGATTACCGCCGACACCCATTGTGCGCGAGCACAAAAGAAAAGGGAAGGAAGGAAGGGAGATATTTGTTTTCCCGGAGAGCGGCTAACGTCAGCAGACCGCGTGCGCGCGCGCGCGCGCGCGCGGAGATTTAATCGGCTGGACATTCCAAGAGCATGATGATTTCGTGGTGATGTCACCGCGGCATCGAGCGGAATCGTAATCAGGATTTCGCCTTCGAGCACCGGCGCGGCGCGGCGCGGCGCGGCGGCGCGGGCATGCTGGCCGAGCGAGTCGCCGCGGTAGATACCGATCGGCCGCGCCGATAAATCGAACGATTACGAATCACCGTCGCGTCGCGCCGCGTCGGGGTATGCTTCTCGCTTCGAGAAGCCGCGAGCTGCGAGATGTAACTCCGCGCTACTGGCTGCTGTAAACAACGCGGGCCGCTTCCGTTACGCGCGGCCGCTTAATCCGCGATATCACCGGCGCGGCGCGACGCGGCGGCGATTCGCGTCGATCGCGACTGTCGCGTTTAATTGGACGATCGAGCGATCGGAGCGTCGCCGAGCGCCAGTTAGCGATCTGACGATCTCGCCTGGTCGTTTCGTTACCGAACTCGCCCGTTCCGCGGACGACTCTGCGGTGTCTGAAGACACGATGAAGATGGATATTTTCGTCGGCCGGGACTCGCGACGTGTCGACGGACGTTATTCGCGATTCCCTCCTCTCGCCGAGGGACACATCAAAGGTCGCTCGAACGTTTAGCAAAGCACGCGAGCGGTCCTTCGCGTACATCAGCGAGCAACTTCTCGGTACCTCCTGCTGCTCGCGTCGATCTTTCTTCCCGCAAGTCACCGGCGTGCAATGCAAATAACTTTTTACCACTGACGTCACGGCGTCGAGTGATAAAAAAAATGGGTCGTTTGAGTAGCACGCTTTATTGTCAGATAGCGATGCTAATAGTTGGCACAGTCTGTATACTGTACGCCGCGCGATTGTTTAACTCGTGTTTCTGTATTTTAAGGCTGCGATAAGTTAGCTCCACGATGTAGTCAGTATGTAACAAAAATGCAACTACGCGACAGAGAATTCTCGCGGTCTGCCGTCGTCCGCGAGCGTCCGCGAGTCGAACACAAAATTCGACCCTGATCCTGATTGATCCTTTCCCTGTGATTATTGTCTCAATCGGACGTCTCGAATATCTGTCAAATCATTGCGATCTACCGCAAATGAGAGGCGCTCGATCAGCGCGCGAGACTGAAGATAACCTACAAATCGCGACGAGCAACCTCGTCTCGAACGACACGCAGAATGTGCCGAATTAATTTCCACGCAACATCTCGCGCAATAGTTTGATAACAAGGTGGAGATAAAGATCGAGATAGAGAAGAGGAAGTGAGAAGCGGCTGAATAAACAGCCGATGCCCCTCCCCCTCTACCCACGGGTATCATCCCGCCGGCAAGATTTCCAAAGAGCACGGTGTAACTCACCTGAGGATTCCTCGTGGACGCTCAAGAGCACGCCGGCGACGGCGACGGAACGGCGGCATGCATCCACGTGTTCGAGGCGGCGAGCTGGAATTCACTTGTACAAACGTCGCGCGACACGGCCAACACCAACAAGAAAATCACCAGCCACCGCGGCGTCCTCGCGACGCGAGAGCTCGCGCACACGATTGTATCACCGAGGTTGCCGGCGCCTTTCTTCCGAGACGGATCACGTTTCCGGAGCTTCACTGCCGGGGGCGCGGAGGACCTCTCAACCCCCCTCGTAGACTCACTTTCCTGAATTTCGGACGACAATGTCCTCCTCCGGCCGTTCGACACACAACACGAGAGTACGCGATATGCCTCTCGCGGTCGTTGCGAGAATCGAAGGAACTGCCGCTCGCGATTCGACCGATGCAACGTCAGGCGGTTGGCGCGACGAGACGAGTCACCGTCACCACTCGCGCGAACGGACTGAAGTTGCTCGCGACAGGCGCCGATTCAGTCGAGATTGAGTTTCTAACCGTCGTGCATGGTGCGTGCCGTGTGACTCTCCGCGAATTCGGCGCTCCTTCGTTCACCTTGAACGTGCGACACGGGACTCGCACGAGTTAGCCGCGGCAATCGGATTCAAAGCGCCTGGCGTTGCAGTGTGTGTGTGTGTGTGTGTCACGTGGAGGGCGTCCGTTAGTCGCCGTGCTTGATTGTCGCCATGGACGCGAGCAGCTCATCGATAGCGTGTACGTCCCCGCGGAATGCCGGTGGTACTTGCGGTGTCACGAGGATCGTCGCGCACACGGAGTCTACGTGAGTAAGTCCCGACAATCTCGACATATCTCCCGTGAAGCGCGGAACTCGCGCGTCGCACGAGGGAGGAGGAGACCGAACGACGAAGACGCGTCCACACGGTTAGGTTAGGTCGCCGAGTGTGTCACCTTCGACGAATTTGGTCCTTCCATATACCTCCCTCGGGTGTCACGCGGCGAAACGACACGGCGCGATTGCGCACGACAGACGAGTGACAGACGAGGTAAACAGCCAGAGGTCAGAAAAGCTGTCGGGCGTTTTCCGGGAAGCGACTCCGGGTGCTCTTGTTTTCGCGTCGATCAAGGATACTGTCGGGGTTGAAGTTCTCGGAGAGGCTCGACGCGACACGACACCGCCTCCACGAACTCGCGCGCTCGCGAACGACGCGTTCAAATCGAATTAGCGCCACGAAATGCAGCAACCGACTCCCGCAACCGCTGCGGCAAGACTGAGAAGCGACCGCGGCGTGCGCATGCTCGGCACGCTTACCGCTCCGATCCGAGCCAGTCACGGAGTCGTCCCGTCTCGGTCTCTCCCGCCACGTGCATCGTCGTGCACCGTGTCCGTCGTCTTTCTCTTTCGCTTCCGATCCGTCCGAGCGTCTCGCTCGCGCACTCGTTCTCCGTCGCCCTCGCGCGCGCGCTCTTCATTGAGAATCGTTATCTCCGCTTCTTTTCAGCGTTCTTTCGATTGTTTACATGAGAAGTAGCCAAACCTACAGCGGACTTGGTGTCGCCGGCTGTTTGTTTACTCACGTAGGCATTTAAGCTCGCGCCGCGGTCGGACTTGAAAATTCGGACTTTGGGACGGAAGCTTGGAGAGGACTTGAAACGTCGCCGGAATTTATACGTCGCATCGTAACTCGAGCGTGTAACACGCGAGTGATCAGAGCGTGTGTTTTTTTAGCTAATTTTTAGCGAAGTGTCTGCATTTGGGCTCGGCTCGAACAATCGCACAGCTTTCCCTTCGCCGCGTGTCTTTTTCAACGCGGCACCCAATGTTATTTTTCTTTCTCTGTCTTATCCGACTCGGATACGCGGACATTCGCCGCGAGACTGGTCTCGTCAGCGCGCGTACGCGCCCCGTTCTCTCAGCTGTTCCGTGCGGAGGCACGCACGTGCGTGTGCACGTAGGCGTCTGTCGCGCCGCAGGCGCCGGCCCTCAGTTTTCACGGAATGATCAGCGAGGATGTAGGAGTCTAATTACGCGTGCATGCCTACCGATTGTTCGCCGCGCACTCGGGATCTTTTCTGACTGTAACGCAACGATGTAGACTAACCGCATGATGAATTATTCATTTGGAAAGCAGCCGTTGTTATTGCGTGCACTTACTCTGTTTTGCAATTTTCATCCACGCGTCAGATATTTCTATCGGCGGCGTTTCGCCAACCGCTTCAAGCGCGATCTGACAATCTCTCTTGTCGATATCTTTCTTTCTCGGGTGAACGCTGTAAGAATGAGTAATGATTCGGCTATGATTCGCTCGATTGTCATTACAATCGTAGCGACTGATTACAAATTATTGAGGTAACTTTTTTATTATTACGAGTTACTCTCGCGCGCTATAAAATGCAGCGTTAAATCTTGTTGGCGTGTGATAAACAATCCGGTTAATTATATAACATCCACCTCTGCTCACCTGCGTTTCGTTCGCGACATTTACGCGATGAGCAATAGGGTTGCCAAATCCAAAAGTTAAAATTACCGGACATTTCCTACCCAACAATAACAAACCCAAACCGGACTAAACCGGACAGAAATAATAGTCATAACGTTACATCAAATACAAAATATAACAAGAATTTATTTACAATATTAATTTCCAAACAATTTTACAAACAAGATTTGATTGAATAACATAATAAACTATTACTTTTTTAATATATATGAGATGACGGATCGGCAGATCATCCACTAGATGGCTTTTCGTGGCGCTCGATCGTTTGTAGGCGTTTGAAACGGAGAAACGTTGCTAAAAAATCTGAACTCTCATGCCATTGATTGGATATAACTTAAACACCGGACACGTGACGTCCGATTTGACTTATTAACCGGACACTGAGCAAGACTTCTGAAAACCTGACAGTCCGGGTCAAAACCGGACAGTTGGCGATCCTAGATGAGCACCGGCTGATCTCCGATGTTTCAATCGTTCCGACCGCGAGCGCGACCTGTCGCAAAGCGCGATGCGGGAGTCCGCGAGCGCGAGAATCCTGGCGGATCCTAATTTTTGCGCGGGATCCTGCGGTGGATCCCAAGGTGGCGAGCCGAAATTTATCGCGGCGGACTGATCGATGGAATGCAACGCGAGGCACCTCCTCGCGGAATGTCCGCTTCGCCCGGCGGTCCTGCGAGCGCGCCTGTGTCCTTGAAACCGAGAATCCTGGGCCATTAATTCCGCCGGGGATGTTCCGCGCGAGGGAACATTCGTCCTCGCGAGACTCAGCTGTTTCTTACGGAACGCGCAAGCATGTTCGGGCACGCGCGAATACACGTTCCCGACTATCTTGAGTGAATAGTCCTAGCCACCATGTCGCCCCACGGTCTACTACGGTCCGAAGGATCCTCCCCGCCCGCTGTCGTAAAGTCCACGAGCAAAGCGTGTCGTTTGTTGAATCTTAGATTTACGCGGAGCGCCATGCAAATGTGATGTTTGTTCGACTCCTCGCTCGAAAGCACGGCCAAAACGGGTGGGAATTTTTTCCCTCCACAATTGGTAGGAAATATCTCGATATAACTGTATACCAATCTGGAAGAGCGCACAATTCTGGCGGAAATGCAAACCGCTCGGGATTGAGCGCGCAGCAAGTAAGGTTTCGTTCTTGCGAAGACTCTTGTTCGCTTTGTTACCCGCGGAATTACACTTCCCTCTCGTGTACCTTCACACCAGTCCTACGAAATTATCCGAGAATGATACGTTGCTGGAAAACGCGTTTCTCCTAACACCGTGTCATTGTCCGCCGTGACGAGTCGTGATGCGCGGGGCTCATAAAATAGGCTCGAAATCGATAATCGACGAGCAGGCTCGAGACGAAGAAGCTCGCCCCGTGCATACATCGTAGCAGCGCGCGCGGCATGCCCGCGCCGCATGCCGGAGAAATTACCCTATTATTACTTCATCTAGTCCAGGACGGTGCTAGCCCGTGTGGCTTTCCGTGCTTTGGGTACGCTAGGATAATCAGCTATTTACCGCGCAGGTTGTTCAACCCTTCCGCTAAGAACAGCGCGAAGCTCTTTACACGCCTACGCCGCAGCGACGGTAAATATTCACTTAAACGGGGATGCATGGCGGCCAGGTAAGTCTCGCCGTATAAAGACGCCGGGAAGGCGGATCCTTCTTTCTCGCTTTCGCATCTGGAAAAGTTCGAAAAATTCGAAAATATTTCTTCCTTTAGTGAGAATATTTTCTTTAGAATAAAGAATATTCAGTAAAGAATATATTTTTTTCTCGAATAATAAAAGGAAAGCAAAATTATTTTTCTCTAGTAAAGAATTCTTTTTTTTTTTTTTTTTTTTCAAATAATAAAAGGGGAGTATATAAGATTTAAGTGATTAGAATATAAATGCCGAGTAATATAAAGTGCAGCCACAATTTTTGCATTACCTCGAGGAAACTTGATCTCTTTTCCAAGCTCTCTTCACGATCTCGACGAAATTCTTGCGTGAGAAAATTAAAGTGTCGAGCCGACGGCTCGAGAATTAACGGCGAATAATCGGCTGAGTTATTACGCAAACGAGACATTAATTGAAATATCTCGGTCGGATGGGAATGGACGCCTCGTTGTGGAACTCTTTTTCTGGAAGTCGGCGTTGCGTGTCGCAAGAGAGTCCGGCGGCGTCTCTTTGCGGCACATCGCACGTTTCAACTTTAATTCGCCGAGGATGATATCATGGGTGCCCGCATGCCTTTCCATTAATCTTAATTACCGCGCAATTAAAAGCAGTTAACGAAAGTGGGGTCGTGAACCGACAACGACGACGACAACGACGACGACGATGACGACGACGACATGCCCACCTTTGCGATCGCGTTCTCCCATCCTCGCGTCCTCCGTCATCACTTTCACCTGCGTGTTACTTTGTTTCATCACTCGCGATAAGGCAGGCGCAAAAATATATTTAAGACAAGGGGAGGGCGGGGGAGGAGATTGCTGGCAATTCCAGAACCCGCGTACATTGTATACGCGTGGGATCGGGAAACGAAGTCCCGAGGGACACCGTGTAGATATCGGGGACGTTGTGCGTTGTGCGAGCCGAGTTATGATTTATGTGTTTTCGTGTTCGAATTCATCAAGGCGCATTAGAGGGACCCGGAATATCTCGCATCGTCGATTTCATTTGCATTCCTTTTCTCGCCAAGGCCGCGTCGGGCCCATGGGAGAGACCCACGGACACCAGGGGTCCCCGCGGTTGTTTCACCGTGCTCGCTCGCGCTCGCGCTCGCGCACCGCCTCTCGACTTTGACTTTCGTTCTCGCGCGAAGCGGTGCGTATTAAAGGTCTCCCCGATAATAATGACAAACGTTCGTCCTCGCGGCGAGAATTATTCGTTTCGCGATCGCGCCCCGGCGAGGGCCCCCACGGAAATGCGGGCGTTAAATCAACGACTGGCACGAACCTAACTTACCTCGTTATCGCCCTTACACCCTCCGCCAACACGCGAGAGATTTACTTAACAATGACGACGATGTCTCGGAAAGGCAAGTGCAGGGGTCATTGTGCGCCGGCAACAATCGGCCTTCCGCGACTCTCGCACGTGTCCGTTGGTGCGGCTCTCTAATTATTCCTTAAATTGCAATTAAACTCTCGCGCGCGTTGTGCAACTGAAACGAATTGAAACGAATGAAACAGAGAGGTAATTCGACGTAGCGTGATCTGCTGATCATTTTCGCAGAAATATTACATATCACATGTAAATTAAAATGAGAAAAATATTTTACAGTCAGAATTATCCATATTTTGTCGTACGATTAAACATGAAACGCGGCGGCCGGAATTTATTCGCTGCAAAAGAGTGCCAAATTTTCACGTCGACACGTGAACACACTGCCTTTGACAACTTCCAACAAAGATCGGTTTCTCATGCTTGCGATGATGCTACAAACCAGGTAGGACCCAGGTGGAACAGGATGGATTCGATCTTCCGGTAAAAGAATAAAAAGCCCCCTATAGCGACTGGGTCCACGGATCTTTTTTAAAGTGTCCTGCCTGTAGCGCGCCGCTTCTGTCTCGGCTGTGTGTGGGAAACACCTCAAAGCAACCTGCACTGTGGAAACTTCTACAAAAGAACTATTAGTTGAAGAAAAATTCGAAACCCTCCTCGCTCCGCGCCTGTGAACCTGCTTGTATTCTTCGAGAAACCATTCATAATAGTATTCGTAGGCATTGAAAAATATTTAGACACAAAAGAAACTATTTGGCTAATCCCGGTGTGACCGATTCGAGAGGAGACGCACCG